TAAATTTTACTTACCGCTATCACCAATATATATGCAGCATCATACAATGATACCCAAACCACAGCAAACCTGCAGACTAAGCGAATTTCCATTTGATTGTTTACTTAAAGAAAATTCTTAAATATTGCAGTGATGCATTCCTCACTTAAATAACATTAGATTAAACGAGTACATATTCATGCTGCTACAGAGCAGGTAATAAGGTCAATTAATTTAACAGCTTATGATTATATGTGTAAATTTGCCAAATTTGATCAGAATATGTCCATAAAGAAACAAACTGTGATGGTGTACTTATTTTTTATAAGAATGGCAATGCAATTTTTAATTACAATGTTATGGAATTTTCTCCATAGCCATTAGGCGTAAAAATGTGCTTCAATATACTTAATTGTTGTTGTTCTAAAAAATGGTTCTGGGAGAAATCTAAGATTTTTCTTTTGATGGTCAAAAATAAAACAAACAACAAATTTTTCTTCATAAAGTCCCCAATAGAACCCTATTCTCACGGTTCAATCATATTGGTTCGTGAACTTATTTTAATAAATAATAATTGTAGATTTACACTAAAGCTTTATCAAAATGTAATAATTGTTTATCGAGTGTATTTAAACGGATGGTGTTTTGGCCTGTGGGGTTATCAAAATGTAAGAGTAAATTGGTCTCCGGTCTAGGTTTTACCATGGGGCTTACTGTAATAGCTTATTTCTTATTTGGAAGATTCCCAAATATTCTCAAAATAGAAGAATTTTCAAATTTAACTATGTTTATAAATCTAGTACGTTTTATGTGTTGACAAGTATTTAGATTGTAGAATATGTTTTCAATTGGAAGAAAGGAGATTTTAATTTCTTAAAACAACATTTGGAATGTTCAAAGCCCAAATTTCCCGCAATTGCTGGGCTCACAAGAGCTAATGACCTACAGTTAACTAGTACAAGTCTGGCTTTGTGCTGTTTAATGACTTCTGGTTACTTCTCACAGTGTATTATGGACTAAACTCTTTATCCACTCATTTAGCTCTCTCTAGAATTTATCGTACCAACCGTTTAGACACAATTTAGTCTTAAGATAAGGCTTTACCACAGAAAAATACATGTAATTTAAATTAAAAACAGTGTTGTGAAAAAGTATTTCTTATCGTTTACCTATGGTTGTAGAATTAATTATGTATCTTTATAAAATATAACATTTAAAATCTCATTCTATTTATCTAAACTCATAGTTTTAAATGTTGAGATTTGCTTTTAGTTTGATTGTAAGAATCACACAACCTTTTAAAAATGTGTATATACTGTTATCCTACGAATTTCAAAATAACCAAAAACATTAGTTGGTATTGTAAACCAAAATAAACCATAGTAAAATATTTACAAAACTAATTAAGCACATCAGCAAACTTGTGAGTCCAGGTCAAGAGACCTTTTTGGCTCTGAATGTTAGGCTAGGATTATACTAGGACGCTGGCGTCCGGGATGCCGGCGTCCGAGACGCTAGCGGGGCATTAAATCAAATGGGGGCGATTATACTAGGGATGCCAGCGTCGGATGCTAAAAAAGCCACCGGACGCTCGATTTTGTGCCTCCTTGGGAACGGGGCTTTATGGGGTAAAAAAGGGGTTTTGTCATATTTCTCTCTAGGCAATTTTAATTAGCTAAAAAGGATATAATTAAGTATATTAAAGTGTTTTTGTACGGTTATTAGTTACGTATAAAATTCAAATAAGTGTAAATTTAAAATTCCTATGTTATTCTTATAGAAAATATTTTTAACTGTTGGAATTTACTTGTGTATGGATATATTTTGGTCAAACTTGGCCAATTTGTTTCATACTAAGCTATTAATATTTTACTAAAAACACACAATATTAGCCTCCTTAAAGCAGCAAATCTGGGTACTCGTTAAACCTAATGTTATTTAAATAGATATAAACAAAAAGTGACAAAACATTGAAATAAAATGGCCGTCCGAGAGGCTAGCATCCCAACACAAATCACTTCATTTTAGGCTCGACTTGGGACGCCAGCATCCCGGACGCCAGCGTCCTAGTATAATCCTAGCCTTATTAGTATATAAAAGGATTAATTAAAAAGTAGCTTTTAAATAGCTTTGAGATAACTCAGAATCCCATAATCAACTTTCAATAGCTAATTATTAAAAATCACATTCTGAAAGCATGAGGTTTTTTGGCTCTGTATAATTTCTGGTAGGATTTATAACCAAGGAAGTTGGTTTAAAGTAAAGGAATAAGAAGCAAAATTAGCAAACAGTTTGTAAAAACTATGTTTTTTGATATTTTGGGTACAGTAAATTTCATAAATGGTACTTTGTTAGTTTAGTCATTATGACTAAGTTAGCTGAACTAAAATAGCATAATCTCAACGCCCCAGCAGACTGTAAAGGGATAACGGGTGGCCTTCTTTTTGAGACGACCCATGACAGGAAATATTTATATACAATTAAACTATTTAATCTATATTCAAATCGAATGCAAATTTCAAAAGATAATGTATCTATGTTCTCTGCGTAACTGTACCCAACCAAGGAAATTTTACAACAAAATTGTTAAAAAAGATATTATAGTCCAATAAGATTTGTTTTGCTAGAGGTAAACGTGTAAGACAAAATTATAATCGAGGTGGAAGCTCAACATTAACAAGATTAAACCTCTTAATCTCGCTTCATAATCTCAACACACCTAAGGTTTTGCTTGTGGTTCACTGATATAATCTCTAGTAAGGAAATATACTTATTTGAATAAAAAAGACAGTCACAAGCGTTTTCATAGCTTAATTTCTTATGTACGTTTTATAATTATTTTACTTTGGTTCCATAGAGATCCACAAGATGGAAAATAAACGTTCAAATCTTTTCATATTTACATGAATTTTTCTAATAAAATTTTGACCCAAAAACAATAGAAGGTTAGTCCGAATATTACTCTTTAGTATTTCAATTTCTCAAAACAAACGTTTTTAGTTAAGTATTTAGTTATATAAAGTCAAAAACGATGTAATATAATATTTACTTTCATGTATGGCAATGTTATATTATCATGTATGTACCTTGTTTGTATGTTGAATTTTGTAAGAACTTTCTTATTATTTAAATTAAGTTAGTTCAATAAACAACTGTCTTTGATCCTTTTTAAACTTTTATTCGTCCTTTTAAAATTTAAAATATATCGATTAATGTTTGCATATGGACACTTAAATTTCTTTTGGGATGCATGATTTTTTAATTAACTATATACTTTTCATACGCTACCTACCACAACTAAATATGGTGGCCAAGTTTCGTTGTGATAAAACTCAAACAACTTTAAAACTACTACAAAAGTCTCAAGTTATTTTTAACTAATTATTTCAAAATTATGTACTGTATTATAATACGAAACCACCATTATTTTAAAACTACCAGTTTAATGCATAAAACAATCAGTTTCGAATAAAATGAATATATGATACTATATACTGTATATTGATATAGCAAATTACAAAAACATGTTACACACATGGCATGGTTATGAACATTATGATTTAGAGCTACATGATTTGATCAAAGGGTTTTCTAATCCACCTTCAAGACGTACTAAAAACTATATATACACACAAAAACACATCGAATGTACTGCAGCAGCCAAAGCTTCAGCAGTAGTTGCTGGTCTTATAATAACTGGGGCAGTAAGCTGCTGTCCTGGAGCAGCCCTTTTTTGTCTGCTCGATATGCTACTGATTGACATTTTTATTAAGGTGGAAGCAAGAAAAACAAAGCCTAAGATGCAAAAACGTATGGAAAATTACAGGAAACAACAAAGGGAACTGTAAAATTTGTCAGGTGGTTCATAGCCATATTTTGGACCTACCTTCAGACCATATGTCCAAAAAATACTGCTTTGGAAAGCCTGTTAAAGCACTATTACCAGATAGGGAGGAATGGTTTGGCTTTTGTTTGTATAATGGGGCAGAATAAAGCAAAGCTAGTGAGGTTGTACAGCTAAAAAGGACAACTTCTTTTCAACTTTAGGTTGTGTGATAGGAATTGTACAACAGGTAAATTATATCCACCTTGTTTGAACACCCTGTATACGTGGAACAGCTAAATGAAGCATTTATAGTATATTAAAAACTGTTTATTTAGAAATATCAAAATACCAAGATATACATCAAGACTTTCCAATGAAAATACTAAATCATGTAACAATTAATTTGATTCAAGTCCGAAAATACTCTTGCACCTTTACTTTGGTTAATATTTAGAAAGCTACAGATCTTTCATAGCCATCAAAGTACAAGAGTAAAGAAGGAATACAAAAGGTCAGTTACTTGAGGTTTACTTTGATCATACTTCTTAAGAAGCTCTTTTACTGTTATTTCTTTGCTCATCAAAATACGTTAAATGTTACACTTTTGTTTAGCTTATTTTTTCAGTACGTGATTCAATAAAGAACCATTACATGCGAAATCATCGAAAATAATTATATATGCATGTAGCTGTGGTTGTTTTATAAATGTTCCTTAGTTATTTAAACCTCTGGAAACTCTACTTCCCTTACCACCTTATCTCGTGATAATAATTCTTTCTGATCAAATATATTACCAAAAAATATATTTTTCCATTTAATAACAACATCAAAACATTACACTACGCTTCGAGATAAAGTGATTTGTATTCTAATAAAGTTTTTACCACTTTGAGGTATCTAATTTGAGTTATTTTTCGTATAAAATTACTCTGACTGGAAGGAATAAGCAATTGATATCTACATTGATTGGAACTAACTATCAATACATGGTATAACCAGGTTTATGGGAAACGAACCCGTCAGTGTAATTTAATGTTAATCTTACGATCACTTTGGTCACCGCCACAGTTAGGCATTACAGGTTATTCGGATCGCAACAATGCAACTAATTGTAATTAATTATATGAGGAAACAATCTAAAGTCAGAGGTATGGGGTGGGTTATGAAAGAAACAGACGACCAAATAAAACGGTATTGAACAAATTTAATTATTAATCTACAAAACACTGATATAATACAGCAGGTATTGACAAATATACAGATGTTTGACACTGGGACACAGTGGGTAGACACAGTCCGAAGAGCTCACAGCCATTTGATTACATCACGCAGACATGATGCTATCTGTTGCAGCCTAACAGTGCTAGCAGCGCTGTCTGAAGAAGTAATGTAGAACTGGCCATACTTCTCTCTATACAACAGAGACATAATGGGTTAGAAGGTGCTCTTAAAGACTAAAATCTAAAAGTGTTCTCAGTAAACATATTTAAGCTAAGAGGCATCCTTTTATCAAACATGTATCCATTTCTTCCAGCAGTTGAACCCTAGCATGTAACTGACTTAATTAGGACGTTGAGAAACCACTTTTACAATTTACATGGTGAAACATATAGGAAATCTTCTAGTGGTGACTGCTGATTCCTAATTTGTTGCACCTCATAGTTAAATCCCCATCCGTATTACTTTGAATAGAGAATTAATACACTTGAAACACAAGAGCATAATTAAATTTTGCTTAGTCTGGTTACACAGTAAGCTAAAAGAGGATATTACCGGAGAATATTAGTGCTCTGAACTGCGGCGATTTTGTCGCAAAGCCACTCAACATGTAATTGCCGGGCTCTCAGTATCATTGCATTTCCAGATCACTCCCAATAACCATCCCAATGTATTTTTTTAGCTTTCTTTAATGATAATTAAGGTTGTTAGAACAATTTAAACAAAAAACATTTCGTCACACTCACCAGCAGAGTCTCGTGACCCCATGACAGACGCAATCCGAGGCCTGTCTTCGTCCAGCCACATCTCTCTGGCCGTCTGGGTGATGGAGAAGAGGTCGGCGATACAGCGGATCTGCAGCTTACCCCCAGGGAAACTGTCAGCAGACAACTCCATAGAGAGTGCAGACACTGTCACAGTGCCGTTGATACCTGACTGGTGTGTCACCAGGCTAGGCTCTTCCTGTGTAACATACGGACCAATAAAAATTTTGGACTGGGTAGTTATCTTCGCCGTATTTCTTAAGAATGATAATTTGGATAAAACCTTTAGGTGTGCTTATACCTGGTGGTCAGTAAAAAACCTCCTACTTTTATTGGTTCAATTAAAACAGGTTTGAGTTATTTCATCTTGCCAAATAAAGATTCATCTTACGGTAATACCATCTCGTATTTCAGTGGCATCGCCATGTGTGTTCATCACCGCAGCATTTATGAAATGAGATCATAACTCTTGTACATAAACACAAACCAAATAAATCTCTGGCCACTGCAGACAGTCCACTTTATATGAGTGTCGCCTGTGACATGTACACGACGTACTGAGACATTTTATAGCTCAGACCAACCGTCTGTAAACTATATTGGAACGCCAAAGAGAGAACAAGTAGTGTTTGTAGCTCTGGTGATAGGCGAAGCTCTCTATTCTTGAACTCTTCTAAGTGTTCTAACTTTCATTAGGTTATGTCATGAAGAAAACTCCATCCATAGAAACGTTGTAAATGATTACTGTACTTTGTTTTCCCTAATTGGTTATTATTATCGTATTTCCATAGAAAAAAGGTATCGATTTGAAATCAAACAAAAGATTGAATGAACAGCTCATTTAGCTCTTTTAGCTAGATCATGTTTTACATATAAATTATTAAAAAGCGTGGTGACGGTAATATAGGGTTAATTTTAGAGGATACATTAAATTTTAAATAGATATATATTTTTAGAATAAATAATAATTAATTGACGAATTTAGTAGTGATTTAAAATTAAATAATGATTCTCAATGATAATTCACAGATATAATAATTATAAGATAAAATAGATGTGTAATTGTCTGTCTATAGTTGGAAAGCTTCAGGCGTTTAGAAAGCCAGCAAAAAGTTATAACTACGACTATTATCAATGAAAAAAGTTCAGCTGCAGGGTTAACAATCTTATTTTCATTGCACTAGTGGTATTATCTATTGTGGGTTCGTTTATAACCTTTAATAAAAAATATAGCATGCAAATTGCTTCGGCCAATTTGCTTTGAGTAAATTGTAGACAAAATTTACATACACAGTACAATACACTTCAAATCTCACCTTCTCTCCATTAAGGTACCACGTCACGTTGGCTGGAGCGTTGGAGGGAGGTGAGGAGCAGTTACCTCTCAGAACATCTCCTACAGAGTAGCTACTTGTGTCTAGACTTATCTGTCAGTTGTAGAGTACAGTACACTTAACATCTCACCTTCTCTCTATTAAGGTACCACGTCACGTTGGCTGGAGCGTTGGAGGGAGGTGAGGAGCAGTTACCTCTCAGAACATCTCCTACAGAGTAGCTACTTGTGTCTAGACTTATTTGTCAGTTGTAGAGTACAGTACACTTAACATCTCACCTTCTCTCCATTAAGGTACCACGTCACGTTGGCTGGAGCGTTGGAGGGAGGTGAGGAGCAGTTACCTCTCAGAACATCTCCTACAGAGTAGCTACTTGTGTCTAGACTTATTTGTCAGTTGTAGAGTACAGTACACTTAACATCTCACCTTCTCTCCATTAAGGTACCACGTCACGTTGGCTGGAGCGTTGGAGGGAGGTGAGGAGCAGTTACCTCTCAGAACATCTCCTACAGAGTAGCTACTTGTGTCTACTTATCTGTCAGTTGTAGAGTACAGTACACTTAACATCTCACCTTCTCTCCATTAAGGTACCACGTCACGTTGGCTGGAGGGTTGGAGGGAGGTGAGGAACCGTTACCTCTCAGAACATCTCCTACAGAGTAGCTACTTGTGTCTAGACTTATCTGTCAGTTGTAGAGTACAGTACACTTAACATCTCACCTTCTCTCCATTAAGGTACCACGTCACGTTGGCTGGAGGGTTGGAGGGAGGTGAGGAGCAGTTACCTCTCAGAACATCTCCTACAGAATACTTTTGTCTAGACTTATCTGTCAGTTGTAGAGTACAGTACACTTAACATCTCACCTTCTCTCCATTAAGGTACCACGTCACGTTGGCTGGAGGGTTGGAGGGAGGTGAGGAGCAGTTACCTTTCAGAACATCACCTACAGAGAAGCTACTTGTGTCTACTTATCTGTCAGTTGTAGAGTACAGTACACTTAACATCTCACCTTCTCTCCATTAAGGTACCACGTCACGTTGGCTGGAGGGTTGGAGGGAGGTGAGGAGCAGTTACCTCTCAGAACATCTCCCACAGAGTAGCTATTCTTCTCTAACTTTATATTTGGCTCCCCTTGTAGCTCGTCTGTAGAACATTAAACATGTGTTGTTAATTTTGTTAATTAACGACTCTGAGTCGACCTTGAGACAGGGAAGAACCTCGTACGTATCAGTTCACATAATGATCAGTTGATCACTGCAGTGAAAGGCCATGTAGATGGCAGTTTTTTAACATTATCTTTTTACCAACCACTAAAATCCCGTACAATTCAATTATATAAATAAATTTTGTATAACCTAAAAACTCAAGAAAAGTTTTACACAGATGTTGTACATAGAAATAGCACTAGAAGACCTATATTCATGTATTCTATTCATTAGCAATACCTTATTCGTTACAAAATGTTTGAGAAAATATCATACATATTTTTTAGAATAACAGCTTAACAAATATTTTGCAAAACGTTGCATAAAACAATCTATTAGAATCGTTTCATTCTTTTATTACTTTTTCCTTATTGATCCTCCTCCTTAACATTTAGCTATTTACTTTTAGTTTTGCATTTTAAATTTGTGTATGTTATTTTTATACGACACACACATGGTTGTCATCCAGTATATTTGGAAATAGTTAACAAAGACCATAATCTAGATGTCTTCTAATATTTTTATATATTTATAAAAAAAAAACTATTTATTCGAGAAGGTATCGAAAACATGTTATTCGTCTCAAAAGATAAATCCCCTAATATTGATCAGAATAAAAGCAAGAAAATCTCAAACTGACTCTAATGGTGTGTGTTTGGATGATATAGAACACTAGAGAGATGTTTAATCTTGGTTAAGGGCTCTTCGATCCTACTTGTGCTCCTATCTTAGGCTTTGCTGTTCTTCAGCCAACATTATATCATTTCAAAAGAAAACATCAATTGTTTTCTTTTCATTAAAAAAATTCTTGTAATACAAACATTTGAATTAATTACGAGATATTTTTAAGGAGATACATTTTAAAGTATCCTTATGTCCAAAGAGTAGTTAGAATATCCAATATACTGCAATTAATTGAGCAATAATACTTAAAATGTTTTTTTTCCTGCTATCCAAAAGTTGTGATGGATGTATTAGATCATTGAACACAATATTACAAAACCTATGAAATCAGCTGGACTAACCAACAACGTGCATGAAGGCGGAGACAATCTCAGTATGGAAGTCAGGTGCGTCTGTGGATACTTCACATTTGTACTTCCCCGTCAATGACCTCTGCACATCCTCTAGAACAACCATCTCTGTGCCTGAAGCCACCACCTAGGGATCAAGAGTTGTTTTTCAGTTATTGATTACTCAGCTATCGATTTCGCCTATCGGTTATGATGATAATTGGAGTGTCCAATTGAAATCGGCCACCACTTACCATCTTTGATGTATTTATCGTCTTGTGAGTCAACAGTATAAGTGTAAATATATTATTAAAAAAGCTATTTGACGTATTTGTTTCGTACTTTCCGGTAGTGTTTCAGTGTGGAAAAATAAAACCTACTGTAATCAAAATTTTTTAAACTTAACCTAGTCGTCCCTTAAGATGAAAAGTTTTATTTTTGTGTGAAGTTTTGTAGTCTTGATGGTATATTGATTTTTTTACTACAACCCTTTAAGTCACCATTTATGTTAACCCTAATATTCTATCTTACCCCCCGTCTTTCAGAAATGGAACTGGTGGCAATAACAATAACATTTCTAATACATGCACTTTTAACTATTAATGTTTTGATCGAAACAGTGATGTCAGCCTCTGAAGTAAGCCCATTCTTCGTAACGATTATGGTTTCCTCTCACCCGCCCTATAATGGGGCCTAAGACTACCTAAAAAAATCCTCCTAAAATAAATAATTTTCCTCTATTTCCCAAGATTGTAGCTTAATTTCTAAACTAATTAAACTAAAGATAGTTATACAGTTAATGCCTTGTTAAATTTACATTTTCAGAGCACCAAACCAACATCGGGACTCTATCATGTCAAGAATTGCTGGACATTCCTCAAAAACTATTTTTCTATAAAACACTTTGAACCCCCCCCCCCCCCACATACATATATAGAAGCATTTAATGCTTTTATAACATGTATAGCCTAGCTTTTTGTGTTAACTGCTTCAATGTGTGCTAGAGACTTGAGAAATGATGAGTGCTTATATTTGAAAATTTGTTTATTAAAAAAGTGCAATTAAATACTTAACCTTAAAGCAAATGTAACTCCCCCTTAAATACATAGAAACTCCATTAGCAGCTGTTTAAGCACTTTTACAGTGCTTGGTGTTTAACTACGTACTTAGGATTGTTATTTTACTCATACAAGAATCCCCCAGTAACAAATTGTCCCTGAGGAAATGTTTTACAATCCTCTAACCAAAAAAGGGCCTTGGGGCGGATCCCCAGCGAGCCAAAGTCGAGTTATTAGTATATGCCCAGTAGCAACGATACTAGACCAGTGAACCTTACCCAAATTATTTCCAAAAGCTTTAGTTTCAAATAGTTACATCCTTTTTTGTATTTTATGGTTTTTGTCATATGCAGTCTTGTTGGAAAAAATTAGAAAAACGTAAGGTGTTGCTTTTTAAACTGATATGAATTTACTAGAATACATAATTTTATTTATTAATACTAAACGGAAAACTTAATCAAAGTTTCATATTAAAAATAGGGGAGACAGTTTCAATAATTTAGACGAATGACGAAATCTCGTTGGCCTTGTATCGACCAGTGACATCGCAGCTGTCAATCTGTCACAGCCTTTTACACAGATCTGTATCTGACTTTAGTAGATTTACACGTCATTTCTAACTAACAACTGCACCTACAACAGCCTACAATTCTTTCTTCATACAATACATGTTCTTTATTTCAATAGAAATATTATTAGTTTCACTATAACTTAAGGCTCTGGCTATGTTTGATTAGTTTTCTAATGAGTACTTATGCATTTGAAGGGTATGGTAATGTATAAGCAGAAGCTAGGAACATGTAAGAAATTTAATAAATATTCTAACACATCTTGGTCTCAATCGAAAAGGCGGTTTGCGATACATCTATCATTGGAAAAAATTGGGTCTGTCTAAACGCTGTCATTGGAGTTTTTATTAATAAAAGTATGCTATCGGAGAGATTATATGCACATGTCTGAACTCCTCATTTTACTGTATATTTTCCCCATTTTTGCATAGTCAGCAAACACTATTTGTACAAAATTCAATCATTTTATTGGCCGCAAATTAGTATTTAAAATCCATCTTTATGATAGTTTTTATCGGTCAATGTAAAGATTACACCTTCAAAACATGAGTGGTGATTGATTCAACTAAGACAACTACAACACATACTTGGAAAAGAATCATACCCATATAAGAAAATGGTTTTGGACATGTTCAATTTTGTTCAATATTGTTCAACAAGGGCTGGTCATTGTTGCTAACTTCTTAGCTCGTAAAAAGCCTTTAACTCTAATGCTAAAAGAACATAACAAATAAACTCATATTTCAAAAATACCACTTATTTCTACAGTATAACTGTATGCCAAAACACAAACGACACAAATCATGCCAGTGGACTTACGTCGACATTTATTCCAGGCAGTGCGAATACTCGGGTGTGCGGAAGCTCCTTGAGCACGTACCTGAAGAACTCCTGCTTGCCCTTGTACCACTTGACAGTGTAGAGCTGGTCGCCCTCTAGGTCGTAGAGACAGAGCAAGGAGGCGGTCGCTCCTGTAGGGACAGCCACGGGGACGCGGATCACCACATCTCTTAGACCTCCAGCCCCTGTGAAAAACATGTTTGTATAGGTGTTGTATACTGAAAAAGAGGTATCTGGCAAGAAGGTACCTGTATGTGGAATATATGCAGGAACATAACCGGAACCCAAGTAATTAGTTTTATTTTTGTTTCTACATTTCTTTGATCTCAGACCACCAAATTTAACGTAGAAAAGGTGGAATGTGTTTGGCCGTAAAGTTGTTAATTTTACTTTTCACTGGT